CATTGGTTAATTTTCATAGAATTTTTATTTATTATTACTTTTGTGAGATTCAAGTTATTTCTGTGACCATTGTGGGTTTTTCTTTCATTAGCCGAGGGGTATCAACAATTTTGTCCACGTGTGTAAGGGTCATTCTTGTGGCCAGTACCATGTGTCTGCATCTTTGCAAGTAATTTCTATCCATAACCAATAAAAAGTGCTAAATTTATATTGTCAGTTGATCAAATAATTGATTGATACTGCTGCACATATTAAGTAAATTGTGTGACGGATTCTTTGTCTCGTTGCTGAATTTACTTTGTCTTCGTTCCAGAAGCAGGTATGAGGCTTTGTGGGAAGAAATTCCAGGGATCCATCCCAGGATTGTGGTTCTTCCAGTCAGGCTGAAGAGGGGGGTTGTTTAAAGCCATCAAGCAGCTCAACCAGTAGCATTTGGAGGACAAATACTCCTTCACATCCTGAGATTTCCCACCTTCATGTCCAAAGGAAGGAGTCTGTGGGGAGAAATCATGTATGTTCAGCTCTGCTCAAGTTCACTGACCCTCAGTCAGCATTTATTTTTTTAACTGTGTATCTGCTTCAACAGACCTTTGAATCAGCTCCTTCTTTCCTGTCGTGGTACAAAGCCAGTTGAAGGTTCTGAACTGTTGACTGTCGGTACTGTTGAACCTGAAACAGAAACGTTGCCTTCAGAAGCTGAAATGATCCAGTTGTAGTCAACAGAATTACAGTGCAGTACCTTCTCGGATGCTGGTCCACTGCTGAGCCCGTTCAGTTCAAACACTTTATGTATCTGAGTCTTCTTTTCTTCCATTTTCTCCATTGCCTTCTTAAACTGTTCCTATGATGATACGCTTCAATTTTAGCCAAGTGAACAAGAGAAACACCTTAAATTCAGTTAAAGATAATTTGAGTAAGAATTCGGTAAATAAACTAATCAGTANAGGCCCTATTTTTGTCTTTGTGGTTGCGCCGCTAAATTGACAACACAGCAGTCATTACAGAACCACAGAATGCAAATAAATAAATGAATGAAAGAAAGAGACGGCAGCCTGTTGGATGCAAATTTCAACAATTACATCTTGGGAGATGCACTGACATGAAATAATGCAGTTACTTATCCTGATTCAATTTTACTGAGACTGACTTCTCAATAAATATCCCACATGTAGCGAGACGATACAGCAGCAAACAAGACGATTCATCTCCACAGTGAATCAGTCTCATGCTCGACAGTCACACTCAGCACGAGATGCTTTCCAGCTCGTTAACATGTTTAAAGCGTGTCGTGGGCCTGAGCGAGCCACACAGCCTGCTGTAGTTTTCCCACTTACGTGACGACAGGATACGGGCTGGAGGTGAAGGCGTGTCTGTGGGAGTAAATGTATGGAACTCGAAAATAGAAGAGGAGGTAGGTGAGAAGTGGCCCGATGTACTCGGCAAGAAACACCTGAGAACAGATCAGATAGACAGAACCAATACTTTGCACCGTCTCCCTGCCATATAGATTTTTTTTCACATAAAAAGCTGATGCACAACTTTAATGGAAAAGTTATGTTGCAAGTAAAAATCGTCTGAGTGCCACTTTTCTTGAATATAATACAGTGTTTGTAATCTTTGTGTGTTTGGTATTTTTTTTTTTTTTTTTTTACCATAGTCCAACTTAACTGTGGCCCAAGATCTCTGAAATACATGGTGGCAGTGGTCCCAACAGGCAGATTCTGTAGGATTTCATCATCTCTGAGTGATTTTCCCTCTGAAAAGAAGAAAAGAAAGCCTTTTTATGCGCATCAATTCTGTGTCATCCACACTGTAAAGTATTTTTATTTTACTGTTCAGTGGAGAGCGCTGTCTCTGGGTGGGAAAATAGCTGCACTAGCAAAAAAAAATAAAATATATTCATAGTGTTGTGTATTATGTGCATATAAACTTCACAGGCGCCGAGTTTCATGGTTCAAACTGATGCTTCAGGTTTTCAGCGCACGTCCTCTCTACCTGGAAGCTCAGAGGAGCGCAGCCACAGATAATACGCTGCGCTAATTGGATGACATTTTTAGAATACCCTCAAGGGGAGCTGACCCAAATAGCTCTTAACCAAATTTCTTCTGAGTAATTTTTAGCAGCGAGATAGATCTCATTCAAAGCTAAAGCCCTGCCATATCCTAGAACATAGTAGGCTGCTTTTGCTTTTAATGTAAAAATAATATCATGTACATTAGATAATCTGCCTTTTATTGTGAAAAAACAAGACGGTTTCCACGGTTTGTAAAAACGAGGGCTCGGTTGTGTGACTTTCATTCACCTCTAAAGTCACTACAAACTCTACTGGGTTTTTCTGATATGTCATTGATATCAGGCTGGTGGACCAGTTTTTTTTTGTTCTTTGGACTCTTTGCTTCAATTCAAAATAAAACAATGGACACGATATTAACACTCCAGGTCTCAGCTTTGATTGTACATTGTAAATGAAAGAGCTATTTGGGGGATTTGACTCATTAAACACATAAAGCCGACAGTTTAATTTGACAGATACGTAAAGTAGAACAAAATCGTCATATTTAGTATTTTGTGGCTGCCTGAAGTCAACAGTAGATGCTTTGAATGAATGAGGCCTTCACCACAGCCTCATACATGTTGTGGGTTCTTTCCATCTTTAGTCTCAGCTCACTGACTCGTCCAGTCGAGGATAATAAACCTCTTCGCCCCGAAAAGCTCTACGGTTGCCACAAATGGTTCATCATCATCCTGTTTAATGATGAAAAGTAGTTTGATGCATGCAGCTACATCTGATCACACAGAACGCTCCTCTGTATTCACCTGCTGCTTTCAGTTGTGAAATCATCAACAAATGTCAGTGTGCCACTTCTGTTGGTCGCCATAAATGCCCAAGCAATACCAGAAGAACCTCCATAGGAGCTGTGACCCCTGGTCTACCAGGTCATTTTCAATTTTCTAGCTTTCCTGTGCCTGTGTTTGCCTGCTTTTTTAGAATGAACCCAACTCTATGGAACAGATTTTTGCTTTTTTGAGCCTCTTTATTATCTTCAGCTGCCTTTTGTGCATGAATCAATCAAGACAGAGTATCCTATTACTTCTGAACCCCCTAAACTTTAGGTGCTATGTTTTAGAAGTGCTGTATCACCCATGTTTGAATGGATTTCAACCCACTCATATTGAAGCAGAGATTTCAATGCAGTATCTATTACTTTATGTCAAAGTGAATGATGCACAGAACACGAAGAACAAAAGTGTATAACTGTCTCAATGCTTACAGCCTGAAATCAACAGATGGGCGACACATTAAAGGAAAAACCTGAAGCGTGAGGGGATCTGGGAGCTCTGTTATGCTGTGGAGCCATTTTGCTGCCACGGTTTAGAAGCGTCTGTCCCCTCAGAGGTGAGCCTCACTGCAGATCAATAAAAACTTCTTCTGTGAAATCGCCTTTATCTCACGATGGAACATTTCTATCCTGACGGGGTTTGTCTCTTCCAGGAGGACAATGCCCCCATCCACGGGGCACGAGGGGTCACTGAACGGTTGGATAGGAATAAAAATGGCCTCTGCAGTCACCACATCTGAAGCAGCTTTAATATCTGTACAAGACTCTAGACAGACGTGTTAGAAAGCTGCTCATAGTGAGACAAAATGCTGCCTGCACACGTTCTGGTGGTTTTTCCTTTAATTTGTCACATGTTCGTACGTTACACTTCACTTTAACTTAAAGTTTATGTTACACTTGTTACATTATTGCTTTTGGTAACTCTACTCTTTGTGCTGTAATAACCACATTTCCTTTTGAGGTTAAATAAAGTATTTCTATTCTACTCTACAGGACAAATGCTGATGATGTCATGAAAAACCTGCATTGATTTCTGCATTGATAGACAAACCCAGTGATGTCTAACCCAAAGTGTGCAAATGTCAGATAACAAAACAGCAGCGCCGGGAGTGACGTGTACGTTGCAGTGATAATCATAAAGCCAGATATGCTGTTTAGTTAAAGTCCCAGTACAAGACGACAACGTATCCAGGCTATGTGTTGAACTTTTCTGGTGACATTTATTCCACTAGTGAAGGCCCATTTTTCTTTTTGTACAAGCAGGGACTGGATGACTGGATGGGTAATACTATATCTGCACTTTACTGTCTTCATTGGTGAGTAATGAAGTCGAAACATCTCCGACGGCATCAAACAGGGAACAGTTTCCACCCACAGCTTTAACGCTGTTTATGAGACACATACACATAAAGTAAAGACTGTAATTAAAACAAGGCTACTTACTGGGATCAAGCTTCAGGGCCTGTCTTGCTGGATACCAGTGAGGATCTGAGCAGATCAAGCGCACACACACACACACACACACACACACACACACACACACACACAAGGTTGGACAGAGTTGGCATTGCACTCTCAGTGTTTGGCCTCAGGCCCAGTAATAATTGATCACAATGGAATAATGTTGAGCTCCGCTGCTCTGATGGATGCTGACGGCCTCGGGCTTGGCAAACATTTGGTAACATTTCTGACCAGACACACGCTGATGACAGAACCACTGCAGGCTCCAGAGGAATAAATAAGAAATTGCTTTTAACAGGACATCTCTCTGGGGAGGAGATGCGATATTGCACTCAATAGCAAAGCAAACGTATTAATCATTATGTTTTTTAATCCGAGAACCATGAGTTTGTGTTGCAGCTTACTGTAAATGTGCAATAAAAAAAGCACAATATCATTTTTGAATGAGAGCTGAATAATTGAATAATGAGCTATGTGGATTGACTTTTTCTTTTTTTTTTGGATTTATTGACCATAATCAGGATAGAGCATGAAGGCCGATGCAAAACTCCAACAAACTGTGTCAAAAACACTCACAGGTTTTGTGAATGAGGCTCTTTATGTCTCCTATTGTTGAGTTGGGCTCCACCTGAATGGAATACAAACATAAAGTAGTTAAAACATGAACTTTAGAGTCACTTTAAACTCATGCTGTGCAGCCAAACAGAGCTTTATGTCAAATTCTTGTGAGAATAACAGTGATTCCAACAATATAAACAAGGACAACAAAAAGATAAAACTGCATGTTTATAGGTATAAAACAGTTGTGTATGGATCTAGCTTCATAGACTATTTATTTACACCTCAGCATTATCATCCAGCATACCTTGTCTAAAAAACACAGCTGATCCCTTGTCTTGGCATCGAGAACCTCCACCTGAAGAAAGAAAAGATGAAGCACATTTATTAAAAAAAAACATTTCACACACAAATTTAAAATTACTTTGCTGATTCATGTAATCATAGCGTCTCAACAGCCAGATATCCACCTCACTGTCAATAATATTGACTCTGATATGATGATATGAATACACACCAATCAGGTTGCTGCATTAGAACAGAGAACATTCGTTCTATTTGCCTGCACAGATTGGAGCATATTCAGACCAAGCCTGGTTCTTAACCATCTTGCAAATGCAAGATAGGTACAGTGAAAAACAGTCATTATTTTGAAAACACAAAATTAAATGACAAGCACCCTTTTGCAGAAAATATGTATGTGCATGAAGCACTTCTGCTGCCAAGTGCGCCCAGTTTTCCTCATAAAGTGCACTGATCTCAGTCTGAGTCATACGGATGCTTGAGTCTGTTCGAGAAAAAAAAAGGAATTGTGTTGCTCTCTTGTGCACATTTTTTCATCTTAATTAGAGCATGTCAGTGGTGATGTACAGCATATGCAAGGAGGGTAGTGGGTGGGCCCACAATTTGCCCTGAAAGCACTCCATACTGTGCTGCTCAGCAGAGCTGTCCCAGCTAAATTGGTTCCTTTACTGGACAGTGTAATAACCCACTAATGGATACCTAAAGATTTGCTGAGTACACAGTCGAGAAAGAGAGAATGGGAATGAGGGAGAGCTTCACACACACACACACACACACACACACACACATATATATATATACACCATCTGCTGTTTGCATCATAAAAACATAAGTTTTATAAGTCATATAATTTGTCCAGACCAACACATCCTGCCAGTGCAGAGGCTTCAATGCTCAGCAACACACTCCACTGTTCTCCATATCAAAGAGAAGTATTTCATCTTGTGTGTGTGTGTGTCGTGAGCGCAGAGCATGCTGACGTCTCGGATAAGGCCTTCCTAGGAGACGGATTTGTTTTGCTTTCCATCTGCCAACCTTCCCAGCTGCATTCCAGTGGCACATGTTGATGTATCTGCATGTTAGCGAAGAGCATCCAGGGTGTCATTAGAGCTGTGCGTTGTAAGAACAGCGTGCACTCAGATGTGCTGTGCCCTTGTAAATCTGATTATCAGACTCCTCCGTCCTCTCGTGGGGATTCGGGGCACTGCTGACAGCACAGGTCACACAACATGTACGTGCTTGTGGAAGGCTTTGTGTATGTAAGGGGAATTCAAGTGAACTTGCACTTGTTCTTTGAGTGCAAGACATATATCTTGATCTTTTTAACATATCTTGCTTTAATAAAATAATTCATACCAGCTGGAGTAATCTCTCGACCACAGCTCCCCTTAATGCAAAAGCTGATGGCTGATCTTGAACCACAGGATCAGCACTTAAGACACTGAGCATGCTTCTACTAATGCTTATTAGCTGTATGAGGCTGCTCACTTTGCTTTTTCACCTCCACAGCGACTCAAAGTGGACAAAATGTCTCTTTTAATCAAAGAAAGCAATCAACTAGTTGGCCCATTTCATTCTGCTTGTTATCAGTTTCGCGCAAATTCTCCACACGTAGCTGACCTGCTGCCCATTTAGAAAACAAACCGCCTTCCACAAGGTTAGAATACTGAAACCTGAATGTCAGCTGAGAGGAGGCGGCTGGTGCTCGAAAGCTAAGCTGGATTTCTTGGTGTTTCATTAAACTCTATAAGAGAGTAAAGTGAATTTCATGGATAAAATTTGCCAAATTAATAATTCCTCCTAGACCCTAAGCTGTAGACATGTAAGAATGATCTGGCTTGTTAAAATCAAATGTAAAGCCTTCGTATTTCTTCAGATGAATGTTGGGAAAGGTGTTGCTACGCTTGAGGCAAAAGTTGAAGGAAAGTTCAAGAGTTTGGGAACAAAACAAAAAAATGCTTATTTCCATTATTGCAGAAAGTTAGATGAGAGGATCAATAACACTTTACACAACTTGGCTGCTAATTAGCTTAGCTTAGCATAAAGATTGGAAACAGATGTAATGGAGGTTACAAACCCTTAAACACAGGCCAGGATTTTGTCCATACATCCACTTCCTTCATTGTAAAAAATGAATATAACAAATGTGTACAAATAAGAGCGGATTTCCCACGAGATCAGACTTGACAAATGTTTCCCGTGAACCATTTTAATATTTGCTAATTTGGCTCGCAGCCTTTGCCACCGAGAGCATGGCACACATCCCAGAGCATGTTGTAATTAGCTGGAGTTCATAGGCCTGCTGCACTTACAGCAAATTACCCGTCTACTTCTTCATTATTGCTCATCAAGGCCCAGCGAGACGCGACTGAAGACAGGAGCAGAATGGTGAAAAAGGGGGCTTCGACTTTTTATCTGGCACGGAAAACTTCATAAACTTTCCCGACACTTTTAAAACAACGGGGAAGAAATTATTAATTCCCGTGAAGGATTTGCCAAGTTCTGCCTGACCTCGTATTACTCAAAGCAGTCTCTCGCTCAAGAGAGGCCTTGTGAAACGGTGTTATCTAAAATTCTCTATTAAGAAGTGGCGATTGAAAGTTAATCAAGTGTGTAAGACTCAACTTACCTCAAAGAAGGTGGTCCGGCTCATGGCGTGGTTTACTGTGATTTTGTCCTCTGTGTACCAAAGAGCTAACCTCACCATCAGTATGACCAAACACACTTATTCCTCTCATACAGGCAGAAACAGCTCCTCCCCATTCGAGGACAATCCCTGGACTGACCCCTTATTCTTTCCCGGTCTTCTTCTCTCTCTCCCTCCCTCGCTATCTCTCGATCTCTCTCCCTCACACATATACACCCTCTCTCTCTCTCTCTCTCTCTCTCTCTCTCTCTCTCTCTCTCTTCATCTGAGATAGTGCCGGGACACACAATCACTGGCGGCACTCAACCCTGCACATGGTCTCACCCTTGCTTTTCTTTTCTGCTGCTTCCTCCTGTTTTTCACCTCTATCTCTTTTCTACTGGCTCGTGAATTACATCTTCGGAGGAAAGCTCTTGGCAGAGTCCGACTTGGCACCAGTAAGCAGATATCCGCCGCAGACCGAGACAGCTGAGGAACAGAAGAATGTGAAAGAACACCGAAGATAATCAAATACCCAAGATGACCAAGAAAAAAGTTCTTCTGTGGGTAAACTGGAGCTCGAACAATACAGCTGTGAAATAAATAACAGTAACCTACATTTAAAAAAATGCATTTAACACTGAAGTCCTAAAAATACGGATACTTGTGAAGCGTATAACAAAACACCATTCTATTAATGCAATCCACCAAATGCCAGCAAGAGAGTTATGACTTGAACCCGTTTGGTCTTGAGCTGCAGTCGTGTCAGCAGAAGATGAACCCACCAGGGGCGGACTGAGCACCAAAATATCCCACACAAGTAGAGGACTAGAGGTCAGACTGTACGCAGCATATATGAAAGCTGGAGATACAGTTTGTTTGAGTGTACTTGATGTTTCAGTGGCAATGAAAAGTACAAAGACGCCATAACCTGACATCACATATGTTTTTTTAGGAGCCAGAGGCAGCTAACTTCAGGTATAACACTGGGTTTATAGGCCTATAAATGATAGTTCATGTCTTATATCGACATGCTGCACACGTAACCGGCTCCGGAGAAGTCTGAAATAAAAGATCAACATGTAATAAAGAACCACCTCCTGACCAATCAGTTCTCTCCCTGTGGATCCCACGGAGCTTGAATAGCGGAGCTTCTTTTATCAAAAGTTTTCAGCATCCAAATCCTTTTCTTTGCCTGACGAGCATAGATATGATTTTATCTTTGTATGAACCGTTGCATAGTGACGTAATTGTAAAAGTACTTGTTGACCTTTAGGAGTTCTGTTTAGATGTTGATGAATATTTGTTCTATACTTGCTCCAAAGACTATTTAACACCACCACAGCTGCAGCTGAGATAATTAGGCTAAAATTATCTGTCTGCCACAAGAATAGGTTGCATTTAAGCAGCAATTTTAATGGAACACACAGCTGTAATTAGATCACGAGATGTATTCGTGCTGTAGTAACACCGATAAGCCTATTAACTTACACATTCCCACAGTGCAGCTTTTCACATTCCCTCTTGGTTGTAGCAGCTGTGTTATTTTTTTTTTGTTAATTACCCATATTTGTTTAATATAATAGTTTGTTCCACTTGTTAGAAATGTGCAGCTTTGGACCTGACCATGTTTGCGATCAATAAACTTGTGCAAATGTCACTGAATGCCATGAACACGCTTCTAACAAGGTTCAGAAACCCTTAAAGTCCGTCCCCAGGCTTTGATTTAACCCCCAAAAAGGGATCTCTGAGAATTATTATTACAAATATAGCTCAAGCATAACATTAAAATGGCTTAGATGTAATTCTACACCGTTAATGCACAGTCCCTGCCTCTCTACTCACAGCAGCTCCAGCACACCAGCTCACCTACAAGTCTGTTCAAGCGCCCGCCGTAAAACTTCTCCGTCTTCGCTACGCAAATGGCACAACTGGAACTGGAGAAGAAGAGAGAAGAAAGCTCCACTCTGCAAGTTGACAGGATTGGATCTTTAGGTTTGTCCCTTTGATCGACCATATCAGAATATTTTAGAATTTTGCATTCAAGGTTCCTTATTAAGTGTCTTCATTACATTCTTTAGAGTAATATCTCTGTGTTGGTTTTGTATGATGCGTTGTTGTTATTACCACGAAAAGTAAATGTTTTCTGATCAACTGTACATCTTGTTTCACAGTATAATGAATGCTACATACAGTCGTCCTCAAATTTATTGATACCTTCCATTAAAGAAAACGCAAAATTCACAAAAGTCACTCAAATGACTAGAAACTGAGAAAAGTAATAATAAATAAAAATTTGCTAAATTATAATTTAGTGAAATAAGACATTGCTTTTGAATTGTGGTTGAAAAAAAAAAAAAAAAAAAAAAAAACTGTCTCGGACAAATTAGACCACTCTGCTGATATTAGTTTATGGAACCCATCATGCTTGATTTTTTATTTTTTATTTTTTTATATTTCTGTTGAACCACATTTCAAAATCAATGTCATGATTTTCATAAAATTTTTATTTATTATTACTTTTGTCAATTTCAACTTATTTCAGTGACAGCTGTTATTTTCCGTCTTTAATGGGAGGGTATGAATACATCTGAGGACGACTGTAAGTAAAGGGTTTGTGTCCTTGAGGAGAGCGATGTATTATGT